TTCTTTCTTTTTTTTTTTTTTTTTTTCACCTTCTTTATATAATTAATTCATGTATAATAACATTCTAAATTTATAATTCTGTAAATTTGTAAATTATAGGTAATTAGTGATATATTATTGCTCAGTATGATTTACTTTTTCATTACATTGTTAATTCTGTTACATTTTTATTAACTTTATGAATTATCATGTAAATGTTCCTTGGAGGGCTTATTAGCCCTAGGAACTTAAAATAATTAAATAAATAAATAAATAAAATAAATATATCAAATCAAAATAGCCAAAAATAATTTTTATTTTTACAATTGAGTCAGATTCGACAATTTTCCCAATTTTTTAGGTTAATAGTATTATTTACACTTAAAAGTCATATTTAATGAATCTTATTATTGTTTATAAAAGAAAATTATTTTAAAAATTACTTCTTCTTTATCAATTTCAAATTATATTCATTCGTTAATAAATTATGCAAAATTCATAATTTACATTACTATTTTATGTCTAGTGGGCAATCATTGTAAAATTGATGGTCAATCACTGTAAAAATAATGACAATCACTATTTTTTCTGTCATGTGAAGATTTTTTTATTTTTTTTAAATTTATACTAATATTAAATAAACAATTCATTATTATTTTCGGATTAATGGAATATTTTAATTTCTTTACAAATATTTTCCTTTCTCATTTCGATAATTAAACATTTGTAATTTGTATAAATATATCCCCTTTTTGCTTATACTGGCAATCACTGTACCGTTTACCCCTACGATGTCAAGTTTCATATAAAAAATTGCTGTTAATTTTTTTCACGTTTACAGTACTGCTGATCATGCGTCATAATTTGGTCATAACCTAAAAACAATTTGGAGAAAAATTTAAATAGTCATTCTCTTATTTACCAACCCAGTAAAAAATAAAAGATACAAGAACCGCGGATTCCGGATACCAGCTCAATAGCTGGTAAACGAATCCATGAGAATCTCGGATACAAGCACTTTTCGGTATCCGAAATGCTTATGAGCTTGTAAACGGAATAAAACGGAAGACTTTTGTAGGGCTTTTAATAAAGAAAAATCAATTAATTGGATCCAAAAACGATGGGAAGTTAAATTAGAAGCAAAAATAAATGATTATTTATTAAAGTTTACTAACATTTAAACAAAAAACAATTATTCTTACTAATTCTAACCTCTGCATTAAAAACATTGTGAAAACAGTATTTTGTTGGTAATCTTACCTTGCTATTCGGAAAATATTGTTTTCTCCCTTACCGACATTGGATATTAATTTAACGCGGGTTATTTCAAATTTTCAATTTCAAAGGCAATCCTAAATGATTTAATTAAAAGGGAGAAAGGAAATTAAAAATAAGCACTTAATTATGTCTAATAATACTTTAATAATATAATATGTTTATAAATATATATATGGGGCATTCAAGGTCAACGAGAGACCCCCCGCCCCCAGAATAGATTTAAATGAAAAAAGTTCAAATACGGCTTAAAATTTAGGTAATTACATCTACTTTAAAATTCAAAGTGGCAAAATAAAAAATTCAAGATGGCGGATCCAATATGGTGAAAAAAGTAAAAAAAAATGCTTGAATTCACTTGAAATTTGTTACTTGGGGGTTTTTAGGGTCGCTAAACACAAATATGAAATCAGATTTTTAATATTAAAAATGGCAAATCCAATATGGTGGCCGATTTTTAAAAATTTTAACAAATTTTAATAAAACGTATCTTATGGTGCTTTGTAGGGTTGTAAAAAGTTCTAAAGGTTTTAAATTGAATTAGAAATTTAGGTAATTACTCCTACTTTAAAATGCTAAGTGTCAAAATAAAAAATTCAAGATGGCGGATCCAATATGGTGAAAGAAGTAACAAAAAAAGCTATAATTCAATTGAAATTTGTCACTCAGAGGTTTTTAGGGTCGCTGAACACTAATCTGACATCAGATTTTAAATATTCAAAATGGCGGATCCAATATGGCGACCGATTTTTAAAAATCGAAACAAATTTAAATAAAAAATGGATTACGAGAGTTCGTAGGGTTGTAAGAAGTTCCAAAGGTTTTTTATTGAGATAGAAATTTAGGTAATTAGACATACTTTCAAATAAAAAATGTCCAAACACAGATTTCATAATGGTGAACCTAATATGACAGAAGAAGTAACAAAAAAAGCTTCAATTCAATTGAAATTTGTTCCTCGGGACTAAGATAAGTAGGTTACAGCCAATAAATGCAGGATTAGTAATGAAATTTAGGTACCAACTAGTAAAAGTAAGAAACGTTATAAATCCAACTAGTAAAAGTAAGACATAGCTTCCAAGCAATTGAGGCAAGGTCAATGTAGGTACCAAGTAGTAAAAGTAAGACATAGCTTCCAAGCAATTGAGGCAAGGCCAATGTAGGTACCAAGTAGTAAAAGTAAGAAAGGGTAATAATCCAACTAGTAAATGTAAGACATATGTTCCAACTAGTAAAAGTAAGAAAGGGTAATAATCCAACTAGTAAAAGTAAGAACGGTTATAAATCCAACTAGTAAAAGTAAGACACAATAAAAATCCAACTAGTAAAAGTAAAAAAGGGTAATAATCCAACTAGTAAAAGTAAGACATAGGTTCCAACTAGTAAAAGTAAGAAAGGGTAATAATCCAACTAGTAAAAGTAAGAAACAATAAAAATCCAACTAGCAAAAGTAAGACATAGGTTCCGACCAATTAAGACAAGGCTAATTTAGACACCAACTAGTAAAAGTAATAATCCAACTAGTAAAAGTAAGAAACAATAAAAATCCAACTAGTAAAAGTAAGAAAGGGTAATAATCCAACTAGTAAAAGTAAGACATAGGTTCCAAAACTAGTAAAAGTAATAAAGGGTAATAATCCAACTAGTAAAAGTAAGAATCAATAAAAATCCAACTAGCAAAAGTAAGACATAGGTTCCAACTAGTAAAAGTAAGAAAGGGTAAAATCCAACTAGTGAAAGTGAGACATATAGAGTCCAACCAATTAAGGCAAGACCAATTTAGGTTCTAACTAGTAAAAGTAAGAGAGGATAAAAATCCAACTAGTGAAAGTAAGACATAAAGAGTCCAACCAATTAAGGTATCACATCGGCACTAATCGGAGTCAAAAGTTTGTAGCTCGCGTTACTACTTCCCGCACTATACTTTCGCCCACAACTCCCTATACTCTCAGCCCATACTGTACCTACTTCTACAAATACACTCGTACATGTATACCCCACACTAGCAGCGATTAGAAGGAGTAGGAGGTTTGACAACGTCGCTATAAGTCTCGCTTTGACTACTATGGACTACTGTCTCTCTCTAACTAATGTCACCATCCTGCGATGTTGCCACATCAAAGTGGCGGGTGTGCTATATATTGCAAATGACGTCATGAAATAGAATTTTTAATTTATAATTACAAATAAACGGCACGGTAAATTATAAATTTCTTTGTATATTTTAGTTCCAAATTTATTCGTGAATTCAACATTAGTTTTTGAAAAAAATTTATAGAAAACTTCTGATGATATTTATGAAAATGTACTTCTCCCCCATACATTAGTCCCGTCTCCCATGCAAAATAAGCAACTTTGATTGCTAATATCTCTGGTTCCGTACGGCGAAAATTCTTCATATTTTGCAAATTTGTCAAGAATGATAATAAGAACATATGGGAAAATTTTCAAGAAAATTTATAGAAAACGGTTTTACCGATGTGATACCTTAAGGCAAGATCAATTTAGGTTCCAACTAGTTAAAGTAAGAAAGGGTAAAAATCCAACTAGTAAAAGTAAGGCCTACTTATCTTAGTCCCAAGGGACAAATTTCAATTGAATTGAAGCTTTTTTTTGTTACTTCTTCTGTCATATTAGGTTCACCATTATGAAATCTGTGTTTGGACATTTTTTATTTGAAAGTATGTCTAATTACCTAAATTTCTATCTCAATAAAAAACCTTTGGAACTTCTTACAACCCTACGAACTCTCGTAATCCATTTTTTATTTAAATTTGTTTCGATTTTTAAAAATAGGTCGCCATATTTGATCCGCCATTTTGAATATTTAAAATCTGATGTCAGATTAGTGTTCAGCGACCCTAAAAACCCCTGAGTGACAAACTTCAATTGAATTATAGCTTTTTTTGTTACTTCTTTCACCATATTGGATCCGCCATCTTGAATTTTTTATTTTGACACTTAGCATTTTAAAGTAGGAGTAATTACCTAAATTTCTAATTCAATTTAAAACCTTTAGAACTTTTTACAACCCTACAAAGCACCATAAGATACGTTTTATTGAAATTTGTTAAAATTTTTAAAAATCGGCCACCATATTGGATCCGCCATTTTTAATATTAAAAATCTGATTTCATATTTGTGTTTAGCGACCCTAAAAACCCCCGAGTAACAAATTTCAAGTGAATTCAAGCATTTTTTTTACTTTTTTCACCATATTGGATCCGCCATCTTGAATTTTTTATTTTGCCACTTTGCATTTTAAAGTAGATGTAATTACCTAAATTTTAAGCCGTATTTGAACTTTTTTCATTTAAATCTATTCTGGGGGCGGGGGGTCTCTCGTTGACGTGGAATGCCCCATATTTATATAAAATTAAATTTTCTTTATATTTTTTTTATTTGGTTTTGTTTCAGTCTATTTGGTTTTCATTTTTCTCTTCATGGTCATCGAATTGTAACAGCTAATTCATTTCCTCCTCTAATCTTTTAGATGCCTCTAAAACAAATAAAATAATTATTAATTTTCATTATTATCTTAACAATCTTTTAAACTCTATATCTTTTTTATTATTTACTTTAGTACCTTTCTTATAAAAAATCTTAAATAAGCATCTTCAAAAAGAACAAAAAACTTTTCTAACGATTTGAACTCAAAATTTATATTAAAAATATGAATTATAGTAATTTTTATAAACAAAACTTCAAAAATTTAAAAGAAAAAATTGTATTATACAATTATATACAATTAATATATACAATTACTTACTTTTGCATTTATGACCTTTTAAATCGCTAATTTTCCGACTTATGTAATTGAAAGTGCTATGGGCTTCCCAATCAGCGTCGTTTTTAGAAAATTTTTTTTCTGTCCGCAAATAATACTTGTAGGTATCTAAAACATATATGAAATTGAATTAAATGAAATTATTCTTAATATTTATAATAAATATTTACATTAGATGCATTTTTAAATATTCTTTAACTTGGTCATGTTATTTTTAGTTCCATACAGATTGTACTCTGTAAAAAATAACAGTATGATATTTGATAGTATGTCTAATACTTAGTCTTGACAATCTCTACAAATATAAAGAAAAATATAAAAAACATAAAAAAAATCGAACTTGAAAAATTTATTTTTTTAAATGCTTCCATGAAGAAGTAAGAAATACAAACTTTAATTTAAAAAACTTTCACCTTTGATTGCTAACAATTTAATTTTGTCCAATGAATATGGAATTTCTTGATTTTTACTCCGACCACTTTTTTTCCCTGTTACAGAGCTTCTGAGTAAAGTTTCCTTGTCGAAAACGGATGAAGCAATATTTTTGACAAATTGGGGGTTTGAATTTATATTGCTCATTGCCATCGCATAATGTTCAATGTTCAAAAATTCGCCTCTTCCCATGTGAAACTAAAGAAAGAATAATAATAATTAAAATAATACTTAATTCATAACTGAAGAGTATATTTTCAAAATTTGATACATCCAATATTTCGTTATTTCGAGAAATATGAACAAATTACATTAATCACATAACCACTAAAGATAACTGTCAATTAGAAAACTTGTAATGAAAGATTTATATAAAAATGTATTTTTGGATTTAAGACCTTTATTAATTTTTAATCATCTTTTTCTCAATGTAACAGTAACATAATTATTTGTAAGGTCTTAAATATGTTGAATCTGTGTTCATCTCGTTTTTTTTAAATGGACTAATCAACGTTTGAAAATTTGATCATAAACTATATTATTTTAGTGTGACCAAAAATATTAAAAAATATATATTTAAAGTATCATACATTTCTAAAAATTTTACGAATTTGGAGTCCACAACATTTTGGATCAAAGATTTTAAACAGAAAAATGTTTTGACAAAAAAAATTAATTATTTTCCGCTTAAAAAAATTTTAATTTCTTTCAATCGTTGATGAAAACGTTGTTAGCTTCAATTTCGTAAATTTTATAAAAATAATGATTGTTTAAAATAATCATTTAAGTCTTTGCTCCTAAAAATTACATTTTCAGTTTTTTATAATTTAAAACATCTTGAAATTTTTTTATCAGAGTCAAGGAAAAAATTTAAATTCGAACTGGAAATCATGGAAAAGTCAGAAAAAAACCAGAATCAAATTTTTATGGTAATCCTAAAAAATGCTAACCTTTCTATAGTTCGAAGTAATTTTACCTACAGGTATTTCCACTGCTGTACTCTCCCCATCAATGTCAGCATGATGGCCTCGAATTAAACCTGCGAAAAGAAAATTACTTAAGTATTATAAATCTATTATACGATTTTAAGTTATACTTTAAAATAATTAATAACTTACTAGAAACTTCGACCATTCCATCGACAACTTGATGTTGAAGTTTGATGTTCATTGCTTCTATTTCTACAATTTTAGTATTTTTATTTTCTATTATTTTGTTCTTAGTGACTATCTCCCTTTTTAATTGGGCATTCTCTGCCAGTGCTGCTTGAAGATTTGCTTTTAAATTAGCCAAAAAATTGTCGTGTTCTTTGAAGCGATTAGTGTATACTTGGAGAATATTATTATATGATATATTATTTGATTCTCCTTCCGTCGTCTCAGCATTATCCAACGAATTCTTTACAAACGACAAAAATAATTAACTTTTTTAAATCATATATGGGACATTAAAGAAAACACAGATAAGATCATTTTAGCGTTTAAGTGATTGAATTTTAGATTGTCGCGCGAAATTTATTCAATTATTATTTAATAATTTTTTTAGTTGTAAGATTATAAGAAATTGTTTTTAAAAGAGATTTATTCCTCTCATTTTCCTTGACATTTAAAAAAAAGTAGGACCTCAATCCGATTATTAGAACGGAAGATATAGCAGTTTAAAATTTTTTGTTATTATTGCAAATCTCATAAACTAACAAATATTTTAAGCTGCAATTTACGTTAAAGATTAGTCTTACTATATATAACAAAATTCCTAAGTTTCATTGCAATCGGTTAACCTACTCCGAAAAAGTCAAAATCTCACCTGGAATCGCACTAATGTAAGATTTGTTTTGATTTTTATGAAATAATTCAGTTTTATTAAAAAAAACTTTCACATGACGCATAAAACCGGGAACAAGAATTAACGTCGAAAAAAGATTTAAAAACTAAATTTTTTTAACAACCAATTTTTTTTCCTGAATTCTACAAACTTGGATAAAAAAAACTGCTACTAATAATTACTACTGCTACTAATAAATTAAAAACGGTAAAACATTACAGACTTGATATTAATTTTTAACCCGATTTTAGAAGAGTTACTTTCTTATTTTAAGCGCGTTGAGCTATACTGCTTCAGCCAAAATTAAATACTTTCTTAATAGAAACGTTTTATAATTTTAGTATTAATTTTATCATTTAGAATATTAAAAAAAGAACTATTTAAAAATAATTATTTAATAAATAATAATAAAAGAATTTGATTTAAATAAAAAAATTCGATTTTTTTTAATATTTTAGGAACATCAAGATTTTTATCAGCCCTGATTGCATCTCAACTATACATTTATTTTCTCATTTAATAATTCTTTTAAATTTTCCAACATTTTTATAATTCGTCTTCAATTTTCCAAAATTTCAACATCATCAATGCATAGCCCCTCCCCCAGCCCCCGATGTTATAAGCACAATTTAAGGGTTACCCATGTACATATTTAATTAAAATTCTTATTATTACCTGTGGAGATACTTCTGCTACTATCTGAGAAGACTCCGATTCCACTGTTTCTGGCATAACTTCTTGCCCACTGTCCATTAGAAGCACAGAAGCATTTAATATTTCCTGAAAAAGTACAATTTTTGTACATAAAATATAATTTTTATCAGACCTGATTGCATCTCAATTACATTTATTTTCACATTAAATAATTCTTATAAATTTTTTTACATTTTTATAGTTTGTGTTATTATGCTAAAATTTGGCATCAACGATGCATTGACACCACTAACCCCTGAATTTATAAGCACAATTTAATTGTTACCCTTATACTTATTTAATTAAAATACTTATTATTACCTGTGGAGATACTTCTGCTACTATCAGAGAAGACTCCGATTCCACTGTTTCTGGCAACACTTCTTGAACACTGTCTATCTGAACCACAGAAGCATTTAATATTTCCTGAAAAAGTACAATTTTTGTACATAAAATATAATTTTTATCAGACCTGATTGCATCTTAATTACATTTATTTTCACATTAAATAATTCTTATAAATTTTTTTACATTTTTATAGTTTGTGTTATTATGCTAAAATTTGGCATCAACGATGCATTGACACCACTAACCCCTGAATTTATAAGCACAATTTAATTGTTACCCTTATACTTATTTAATTAAAATACTTATTATTACCTGTGAAGATACTTCTGCTACTATCTGAGAAGACTCCGATTTCACTGTTTCTGGCAACACTTCTTGAACACTGTCTATCTGAACCACAGAAGCATTTAATATTTCCTGAAAAAGTACAATTTTTGTACATAAAATATAATTTTTATCAGCCCTGATTGTATCTCAATTACATTTATTTTCACATTAAATAATTGTTATAAATTTTTCTACATTTTTATAGTTTGTGTTATTATGCTAAAATTTGGCATCAACGATGCATTGACACCACTAACCCCTGAATTTATAAGCACAATTTAATTGTTGCCCTTATACTTATTTAATTAAAATTCTTATTATTACCTGTGGAGATACTTCTGCTACTATCTGAGAAGACTCCGATTCCACTGTTTCTGGCAACACTTCTTGAACACTGTCTATCTGAACCACAGAAGGATTTATTATTTCCTGAAAAAGTACAATTTTTGTACATAAAATATAATTTTTATCAGACCTGATTGCATCTCAATTACATTTATTTTCACATTAAATAATTCTTATAAATTTTTTTACATTTTTATAGTTTGTGTTATTATGCTAAAATTTGGCATCAACGATGCATTGACACCACTAACCCCTGAATTTATAAGCACAATTTAATTGTTACCCTTATACTTATTTAATTAAAATACTTATTATTACCTGTGAAGATACTTCTGCTACTATCTGAGAAGACTCCGATTCCACTGTTTCTGGCAACACTTCTTGAACACTGTCTATCTGAACCACAGAAGCATTTAATATTTCCTGAAAAAGTACAATTTTTGTACATAAAATATAATTTTTATCAGACCTGATTGCATCTTAATTACATTTATTTTCACATTAAATAATTCTTATAAATTTTTTTACATTTTTATAGTTTGTGTTATTATGCTAAAATTTGGCATCAACGATGCATTGACACCACTAACCCCTGAGTTTATAAGCACAATTTAATTGTTACCCTTATACTTATTTAATTAAAATACTTATTATTACCTGTGAAGATACTTCTGCTACTATCTGAGAAGACTCCGATTCCACTGTTTCTGGCAACACTTCTTGAACACTGTCTATCTGAACCACAGAAGCATTTAATATTTCCTGAAAAAGTACAATTTTTGTACATAAAATATAATTTTTATCAGCCCTGATTGTATCTCAATTACATTTATTTTCACATTAAATAATTGTTATAAATTTTTCTACATTTTTATAGTTTGTGTTATTATGCTAAAATTTGGCATCAACGATGCATTGACACCACTAACCCCTGAATTTATAAGCACAATTTAATTGTTACCCTTATACTTATTTAATTAAAATACTTATTATTACCTGTGAAGATACTTCTGCTACTATCTGAGAAGACTCCGATTCCACTGTTTCTGGCAACACTTCTTGAACACTGTCTATCTGAACCACAGAAGCATTTAATATTTCCTGAAAAAGTACAATTTTTGTACATAAAATATAATTTTTATCAGACCTGATTGCATCTTAATTACATTTATTTTCACATTAAATAATTCTTATAAATTTTTTTACATTTTTATAGTTTGTGTTATTATGCTAAAATTTGGCATCAACGATGCATTGACACCACTAACCCCTGAATTTATAAGCACAATTTAATTGTTACCCTTATACTTATTTAATTAAAATACTTATTATTACCTGTGAAGATACTTCTGCTACTATCTGAGAAGACTCCGATTCCACTGTTTCTGGCAACACTTCTTGAACACTGTCTATCTGAACCACAGAAGCATTTAATATTTCCTGAAAAAGTACAATTTTTGTACATAAAATATAATTTTTATCAGCCCTGATTGTATCTCAATTACATTTATTTTCACATTAAATAATTGTTATAAATTTTTCTACATTTTTATAGTTTGTGTTATTATGCTAAAATTTGGCATCAACGATGCATTGACACCACTAACCCCTGAATTTATAAGCACAATTTAATTGTTGCCCTTATACTTATTTAATTAAAATTCTTATTATTACCTGTGGAGATACTTCTGCTACTATCTGAGAAGACTCCGATTCCACTGTTTCTGGCAACACTTCTTGAACACTGTCTATCTGAACCACAGAAGGATTTATTATTTCCTGAAAAAGTACAATTTTTGTACATAAAATATAATTTTTATCAGACCTGATTGCATCTCAATTACATTTATTTTCACATTAAATAATTCTTATAAATTTTTTTACATTTTTATAGTTTGTGTTATTATGCTAAAATTTGGCATCAACGATGCATTGACACCACTAACCCCTGAATTTATAAGCACAATTTAATTGTTACCCTTATACTTATTTAATTAAAATACTTATTATTACCTGTGAAGATACTTCTGCTACTATCTGAGAAGACTCCGATTCCACTGTTTCTGGCAACACTTCTTGAACACTGTCTATCTGAACCACAGAAGCATTTAATATTTCCTGAAAAAGTACAATTTTTGTACATAAAATATAATTTTTATCAGACCTGATTGCATCTTAATTACATTTATTTTCACATTAAATAATTCTTATAAATTTTTTTACATTTTTATAGTTTGTGTTATTATGCTAAAATTTGGCATCAACGATGCATTGACACCACTAACCCCTGAATTTATAAGCACAATTTAATTGTTACCCTTATACTTATTTAATTAAAATACTTATTATTACCTGTGAAGATACTTCTGCTACTATCTGAGAAGACTCCGATTCCACTGTTTCTGGCAACACTTCTTGAACACTGTCTATCTGAACCACAGAAGCATTTAATATTTCCTGAAAAAGTACAATTTTTGTACATAAAATATAATTTTTATCAGCCCTGATTGTATCTCAATTACATTTATTTTCACATTAAATAATTGTTATAAATTTTTCTACATTTTTATAGTTTGTGTTATTATGCTAAAATTTGGCATCAACGATGCATTGACACCACTAACCCCTGAATTTATAAGCACAATTTAATTGTTGCCCTTATACTTATTTAATTAAAATTCTTATTATTACCTGTGGAGATACTTCTGCTACTATCTGAGAAGACTCCGATTCCACTGTTTCTGGCAACACTTCTTGAACACTGTCTATCTGAACCACAGAAGGATTTATTATTTCCTGAAAAAGTACAATTTTTGTACATAAAATATAATTTTTATCAGACCTGATTGCATCTCAATTACATTTATTTTCACATTAAATAATTCTTATAAATTTTTTTACATTTTTATAGTTTGTGTTATTATGCTAAAATTTGGCATCAACGATGCATTGACACCACTAACCCCTGAATTTATAAGCACAATTTAATTGTTACCCTTATACTTATTTAATTAAAATACTTATTATTACCTGTGAAGATACTTCTGCTACTATCTGAGAAGACTCCGATTCCACTGTTTCTGGCAACACTTCTTGAACACTGTCTATCTGAACCACAGAAGCATTTATTATTTCCTGAAAAAGTACAATTTTTGTACATAAAATATAATTTTTATCAGACCTGATTGCATCTCAATTACATTTATTTTCACATTAAATAATTCTTATAAATTTTTTTACATTTTTATAGTTTGTGTTATTATGCTAAAATTTGGCATTAACGATGCATTGACACCACTAACCCCTGAATTTATAAGCACAATTTAATTGTTACCCTTATACTTATTTAATTAAAATTCTTATTATTACCTGTGAAGATACTTCTGCTACTATCTGAGAAGACTCCGATTCCACTGTTTCTGGCAACACTTCTTGAACACTGTCTATCTGAACCACAGAAGCATTTAATATTTCCTGAAAAAGTACAATTTTTGTACATAAAATATAATTTTTATCAGCCCTGATTGTATCTCAATTACATTTATTTTCACATTAAATAATTCTGAAAAATTTTTTTACATTTTTATAGTTTGTGTTATTATGCTAAAATTTGGCATCAACGATGCATTGACACCACTAACCCCTGAATTTATAAGCACAATTTAATTGTTGCCCTTATACTTATTTAATTAAAATTCTTATTATTACCTGTGGAGATACTTCTGCTACTATCTGAGAAGACTCCGATTCCACTGTTTCTGGCAACACTTCTTGAACACTGTCCATCTGAACCACAGAAGGATTTATTATTTCCTGAAAAAGTACAATTTTTGTACATAAAATATAATTTTTATCAGACCTGATTGCATCTCAATTACATTTATTTTCACATTAAATAATTCTTATAAATTTTTTTACATTTTTATAGTTTGTGTTATTATGCTAAAATTTGGCATCAACGATGCATTGACACCACTAACCCCTGAATTTATAAGCACAATTTAATTGTTACCCTTATACTTATTTAATTAAAATTCTTATTATTACCTGTGAAGATACTTCTGCTACTATCTGAGAAGACTCCGATTCCACTGTTTCTGGCAACACTTCTTGAACACTGTCTATCTGAACCACAGAAGCATTTAATATTTCCTGAAAAAGTACAATTTTTGTACATAAAATATAATTTTTATCAGCCCTGATTGTATCTCAATTACATTTATTTTCACATTAAATAATTCTTATAAATTTTTTTCATTTTTATAGTTTGTGTTATTATGCTAAAATTTGGCACCAACGATGCATTGACACCACTAACCCCTGAATTTATAAGCACAATTTAATTGTTACCCTTATACTTATTTAATTAAAATTCTTATTATTACCTGTGAAGATACTTCTGCTACTATCTGAGAAGACTCCGATTCCACTGTTTCTGGCAACACTTCTTGAACACTGTCTATCTGAACAACAGAAGCATTTAATATTTCCTGAAAAAGTACAATTTTTGTACATAAAATATAATTTTTATCAGACCTGATTTCATCTCAATTACATTTATTTTCACATTAAATAATTCTTATAAATTTTTTTACATTTTTATAGTTTGTGTTATTATGCTAAAATTTGGCATCAACGATGCATTGACACCACTAACCCCTGAATTTATAAGCACAATTTAATTGTTACCCTTATACTTATTTAATTAAAATTCTTATTATTACCTGTGAAGATACTTCTGCTACTATCTGAGAAGACTCCGATTCCACTGTTTCTGGCAACACTTCTTGAACACTGTCTATCTGAACCACAGAAGCATTTAATATTTCCTGAAAAAGTACAATTTTTGTACATAAAATATAATTTTTATCAGCCCTGATTGTATCTCAATTACATTTATTTTCACATTAAATAATTGTTATAAATTTTTCTACATTTTTATAGTTTGTGTTATTCTGCTAAAATTTGGCATCAACGATGCATTGGCACCACTACCTCCTGAATTTATAAGCACAATTTAATTGTTACCCTTATACATATTTAATTAAAATTGTTATTAGTACCTACCTGCGGAGATACTTCTGTTACTATCTGAGAAGACTCAGATTCCACTGTTTCCGGCAACACTTCTTGAACACTGTCCATCTGAACCACAGAAGCATTTAATATTTCCTGAAAAAGCCCAATTTTCAGACTTTGATATGATTTTTAATACGAAAATGTAAAAAATCAAAAATTTTGATACCAATAATTGTTCTTCTTAATTGTATTTAATAATTTCAAAAGATTGTTTTACCCTTTTGTTAAAAATTTTTTGGTTTGACTGGAACATTTGATTATATATTTTCTTTACTTTTACCTTATTTTTAAACAAAATATTTATCCTTACTCTGACTTTAGTGAAAAGAAAGTCAATGTGTTTATAATTACAAAAAATTAAGAAAACAATTTATAGATGCAATAATTCGAATTAAACTTTTCAATAACTTTTGATAAATTTTTTTTTAATTTTCGCCAAAAAACTTACTTTTTTTTAAACTGAAATGTTAAATTCGACATTAAAAAAAAATTTATTCATACAGAAGGCACTAATGTACTATTGAAGAAAAAATTTTGTTTTTGATAATAATTGTGGACCCTAGATTGGACGCAATAGGCAAATTTCAGCATCGAGTATATAACGTTTATTTTTTATTATTAAATTTTTAATTTTTTTTACAATAAAAAAATTATATTTCGAAGATTTAAATATATAAAAAAACATCCACAAAAACTCATATCAATTTATTTCAATACGTTTGAGAAAAAAATTCTTGAAATATATACATTTTTTGACTTTCTATAATGTAGGCGCCCCCCTTAAATAATTTTTCCAAATTTTTATAAGAATGATAAATCACCTGTCGTTTTTTTGCTGTGCTTTTCTTCCTTTTTAATAAGGCTTCCTTTATTTTGTCTGCATTTGAACTAGAAGTCAGGCCCTAAGTACCAGTGCATAATGAATAAGTAATTGACCTTTTATGTACAATATTTTTTTTATTTTATTTATTTGTAATAAATTTTTGAAAATTGTACATTTTTTATTTTTACTTACTGTACATGCAATGTTAAAAGAAATAAATTAAAAAATTTTTGAATATATTATTTGCATGTATATTGAATATAATTACAGTAGAACAGCGATTATCCAAACCTCTGTCATCAGTACTCTGTGTTATCTGAAGCATAAAACATTTTATTCGAACTTTTTTCCAAATTTTAAACGAATTTTTTTTATTTTTTTACTATTAAAACTAGTTTTAATAATTTTCTAAAAGAATTATATTACATTAAATATATATTCGTTTTAACTGTTTAATTGTTTTACTTTAATTATATCAAGAAAATATAATTCTCTTTAACATCCGAACAAGGTTCCGCCCGAATTTGTTAGGATAATCGACGTTTCACTGTATTTTCACATTTTCTTTAGATAAACACAAATTTTTTTTACACAATTTTTAAAATTTGCTGATATTAAATAAGTAATATTTTAATTCCAAATAAGAAATTAGTTTAGTTATAAAATTTAATTTTCAAATAAACATTTACCAATTTTTCAAAAATTATTATTACTTTTTAAATATGAACCATTATTTTTTATAGTGAACTATGAATTTAAGTAATTTTAAATAATAAATTTTTCTTTCTGTATTGATTATATGCTATTACAATGGAAATATATTGCTAATTACCGATGTAAGTGTCGTTCTGAAATTTATAAAGAAGTAAAACATTAGTAGTAAGGCTAGAGGAATACTGCCCCAGGTTCTGATCTCGGCTAAGTTACCCCCAGTCGGTAAGGTAGATTTCTACATTATCAGCAGCTGGTCGAATTAAAACCCAGTTGGTAAGGTAGGAATTTGTTTTACCGACCGAGTTAGTTAACTAGCCATCCAATAGATGGCGCCACTAGCGAATTCAAATCTGCTTGGCGGGAAATTTAAAATTTATTAGATAATTTAAATTTGCTTGGCCGCCATTTTGTTTTACCGACCGAGTTAGTTGAGCAGACACCCAACAGATGGCGCCACTATCTATTAGCCTGTGGGGAATGCTTTATGTTCCCCCACTATATATAGATATACGGGCTGACGCCATACTTGGCAACCGTTGCTAAGAGAACCAGATAAGTTAGTTCGATTAGAGAAGTCTTGCGAGTAACACGTGCTGTCGTATCATTACTGTAAAATGATAAATAAATTATTAATTATATAAATAATATTCGGTAACAAGTTTTATTTGTTAACCCGTGTTTATTCGTTGGAGAACAATAGTATGTTTATACATTATTGTTAATAACAATTCTCCACATTGGTGACCCCAACTACCGAACACGTTTTCGGAGATCGGTGGACAGTTTTGCCATCGTTATTTTTTATAAAATTTATCAAGTGGATTTCTTATAGCCAGTGATCTGTTTACTGCGTTTTTTTGCATAGTTTCCGGAAAAAATGCACTAAATCCGGAATTATGAGTGAAGTCCATTTAAAAAAATCTAGCACGTGCGGTCATGTACGAAGTTACGTTATATTGACCGGTTAATCTCGAGGAACGAGATTTTGCAGTCCCCATCAGTACCTTCTGGACGTATCCTGTCATTTTTGGCTGTAAAAAATTCTCCAACATCATTATATGTTGCATATTTTCCATACCGTCACTGAAGGAAGGATGTCAGTTACCGCCAAAAAAAGTTACGATGGAAGCCATTTTTCTCTATGACGTATAAGTTTCCCGGGATTTTCTCCGCTTGGCCTTTATTGCGCAGAATTTCCCCTCCTGCCAACACTTGCTGTTTACATCGGATGTACGTCATCATTTTCAACGAAAGGTTCGAAGTAATCGGAGCCTCCTGTAAGGTATTCATGTAATTGTGATGTCGTCAACAGCTGATCGAGCAAGTGTTTATAAACAAGCAAAATCTACAACTCGCATTTTTTTTACATAATATAAATTAATAAATATAAAGTAAATTACTTTTTCTTCTTTTACTGAAAGAAAATAGATTTAAATTTAAAAATTTTTTTTTTAAATATAATTTTAAACATAATTTAAAAATGTATTATCGTCAACTTAGATTCATTTTAATTCTTTTGATATTGGAATTTTCATTGTTTCATCTTTATATTCTCTTATGTTTATTCAGAGAGATTTACATCGTGTTTTTCATGATATTCGAACTTAAACGTTACGTTTAATTTTTTTTTATTTTTTAAAAAAAATTCAAACAAAAACAATAATATTGTACTTTCCGCGCGCTATTGTGTGGGCATTGTGTGATTTAGAATTTTTTTTTGATTCTTTATCTCGATGTTAAAAGTCTAAAAATGCGATTAATGTGCGAGTGTGCGTAGGACTGTAGATTTTGACAGGAGTATATATATATATATATATATATATTTTTTTTTTCTTTTCTTTCTTCGTTTGTTTTGTCTTTTATTTTATATTATATCAAATTGATATTTTAATATGTTGACAATTATCAAGGGAAATTTTTTTTACACACTATGAAGTTCATTTTGGTGTTGCATTGGGATATTTAAACTGAATTTTTTTTTCTTATTTCTTAATTGTTTATTTATATAAATTTAAAAAAAAAAAAAAACTTTTTCTTTCATATTCAATAAATTTTTCTTTTTTAGGAAATGTGGACCCGAATAACTAGTTTTTAAATTTTATAATTTCTATTTTCTTATTTTATTTGGAAAAACTATTTTTGATCGGTTGTGCTCAGCGTGGTATTTGACCTAGCCTATTTTATTTCTTTTAAATTTTAATAAAAATGGAGGAACTCGAAGAAAAGATTCGCGTATTGACGGAACAACTAGAAGCTGCACAGGCAGCCAATGAGGCCGCAAACGGCGACGACGTCCAAGGATTTCGACCTGCTGACGAGGAGGCTCATGTTGATGCGTATAAACGTCGTATCAGAATTCCCAGATTTTATCAGAATAACCCGGTTGTTTGGTTCAACGTTATCGAGGCTTTATTTCGAAATAATAGTATTCGCTCTGAGAAATCCCGTGCCGATATAGTAATCGCGGAACTCGACGCGGATATAGCATTGTCTATTGCTGATTTGTTATCACTGGAAACGGTTCCAGCTGACATTTATCAGCGCATGAAAAAGAGACTCATTTCAACGTATTCAGCCTCATCTGAAGCACAATTACGACAATTGCTCAAGGGTGAAGTATTGAGTTCGGGAAAACCGTCGCATATTTTGTCACGCATTCGCAACTTAAGCGGAGGTAAATGCTCCGATGACATTCTTAAAACAATTTTTCTTGACCAATTGCCATCTCAACACCGTGCGATATTAGCCTCTTTACCATTTGACACCTTAGACAATTTAGCGTCATCAGCCGACAAAATTTCAGATGCAACTGCCCCTTTAAGCAATCATGTCGCTTCAGTCACACCTATTCCAACTAACGATAACGGAATCGAGGCAAAATTAGATTTGATCACCGCGGAAATCGCGGCAATGAAGTCGAGATTTAATGATTCGGAAAATAATAATCGCCGTCATTTTAATCGTTCAAGATCAAGATCTCGAAATAGTCAATCTCGTGGCCATTCTCGGGATAGATCGTCCAACCAAACCAAATCAGGGTTGTGTTGGTACCACAAGAAATTTTCGAAGTCAGCAAAAAAATGTGTTGAGCCGTGCACCTGGGTTAACAAAGAGGAGAAAAAGGGAAACTAAATGAGCCGATCCGAGTCGAGACCATCGGATCCGGTAACAAATCGAAGCGTCTCCATATCAGAGATCGAGAGTCAGGTCTTATTTTTTTAATCGATACGGGAGCTGATGTATCCCTGTTACCATCGTTGCATTCTAGTTCTCGCGAGCCCATCGAATTCAGTCTTTACGCGGCTAATAATACGCGAATTCCCACTTACGGAAGTAAACGTCTTTCTTTGAACCTTGGCCTTAGACGCGAAATATCATGGATTTTCTGTGTTGCAGCGATACCGTACCCAATTATTGGGGCCGATTTGCTCGAGCACTATGGCTTGATGGTTGATCTTCGCAATCGCAGACTTTTGGACTCTTTGACCAGTCTCTCGGTGGCATGCTCGATCAGGAAGGTTGTCGTTCATGGCGTTAGTTTGATTGACGAATCTCTGACTTTTGCCAACATTTTGTCGGAATTTCCTGAAATAACAAGACCATCTCAGGGATTGGAGAAATTACCCGGCGACGTTGTGCATCACATTGTTACAAAGGGTTCTCCGATTTCTGCAAAAGCTCGTCGTTTAACAATCGAAAGGGAACTTGCTGTCAAGGCTTATTTTCAGTCAATGGTCGCTCAGGGAAAATGTAAATATTCCAAATCTTCATGGGCTTCTCCTATCCACGTGGTTGAGAAAAAGGACGGTGGGATAAGAGTTTGCGGGGACTATCGCGGTGTAAACAACGTTACCGAACCCGATCGCTATCCCGTTCCCCATCTTCACGATTTTTCGTCAAGACTCAACGGCAAACAAATTTTCACGAAATTGGATTTACACCAGGCCTATAATCAGATTTCGGTTAACCCTGACGACGTAAAGAAAACCGCTGTTATCACCCCTTTTGGGTTATTCGAGTATAAAGTCATGACATTTGGTTTGCGAAATGCAGGGAGTACTTTTCAGCGTTATATTTTCCAGGCTTTAGGCGACTTAGACTTCGTCTTCGTTTACATAGATGACATACTCATTGCCTCTTCTTCTTTGGCTGAGCATGAGTTGCATCTTCGAGAAGTTTTTCGTCGTCTCAGGGAATATCGTTTGCGGTTAAACTTGGATAAATGTTGTTTTGGTAAAAGCGAGCTCGAGTTTTTGTGTTACATTGTAAATACTAATGGCATTCGCCCTACTCCCGAAAAAGTTAAAGCTATTGTTGATTTTCCGCGTCCCAAGACGATCGTCGATTTACGCCGATTCTTGGGCCTCGTTAATTTTTACCACCGTTGCATCAAGCATGCCGCTCACATTCAAATTCCGCTAAATCATTTTTTGCGCGATTCGCGCAAAAATGATAAGCGCATCGTACCTTGGGATCCTGTTTCTGAATCTGCTTTTGATAGAATTAAGCATGAAATAGCCAATGCTGCATTGCTATTTCATCCTTGTTCCAAAGCCGAGACGCGCCTAATCACCGATGCTTCTAACACCGGTATTGGTGCGATTCTTGAACAAAGATTCGGAAATGAATGGAAACCTCTTGCCTTCTTTTCCAAGAAACTTACACCTTCCCAATGCAATTACAGCGCATACGATCGCGAATTGACGGCTATCTTCGAGGCGATTAAGTATTTTAAACATTTTCTCGGTCCTAATCAATTCAAAGTAGTTACAGATCATAAGCCACTCGTATATGCTTTCAAACAGCGTCCGGAAAAGGCTTCTCCTCGACAAATTAACCAGCTATCTTTTATTTCGCAGTTCACCACCAGTATCGAGCATATTCCTGGTTCCGAGAACGTTGTCGCCGACGCACTCTCTCGTGTTGACGCTATCCTTTTTCCTTCGGAGATCACTCTTCTCGAGTTTGCTGAAGCCCAGGGTAGTTGTCTCGAGTTGAAGACTTATCTCGAGAATCAAGACACCTCTCTGAATCTGAAAAAAATCATGTTTGGTCAAAGCAGTAATTTTATATTTTGTGATCTTTCTGGCGAAGTCCTCCGACCATTTGTTCCGATTTCTCTGCGCGAACGCGTTTTTAAATTGTTGCATTCTCCGGCTCATCCGGGTGCCAAGGTCACGGACCGCATAATCCGTCAGCGATATGTGTGGCCTAATATGCACAAAGACATTTCGAAAATGTGTAAAAACTGTCTGGATTGTCAACGTTCGAAGATATCTAGACATGTTAGTCTCAAACCGTCGCATTTCGTGGCTCCGGAATCGCGTTTTCGCCATATTCATATAGACATTGTTGGTCCTCTCCCGATCGATTCTGGATTCAGATATTGTCTGACCATGATCGATCGGTTCTCACGGTGGCCTGAAGCTGTCCCCTTAAGGGACATTGAGGCAGCAACTGTGGTACGTGCTCTCATGAACAACTGGGTATCACGCTTTGGATCACCTGAGACAATCACTACCGATCAGGGCAGCCAGTTTGAGTCTGCACTTTTCCAAGCGCTACTTAAACTTATTGGCTCCAAGCGTATACGTACCACTGCATACCACCCCGCCTCAAATGGCATTATTGAAAGATGGCACAGAACTTTTAAAGCTGCCATCATGTGCCATGCCACTCGTGAATGGACACGTATCCTTCCTATCGTTCTGTTAGGATTGAGATCCAATGTGTTGGATTGTGGTTCGTCACCTGCCGAATTTTTATACGGAACAACGATTCGAATCTCCGGCGAATTCGTGCTTCACGATGATTTTGCACCAAATCCGCAGATTTTTTTGGAGGAATTCCGCGAATTGATGAAGGAAGTCAAGCCTATTCCCGTTGAGCACCGCCACAAAAATAGAGCATTTGTTTTTAAAGATCTTTATTCATCGACTCATGTTTTTCTTCGCGCAGGACATTTAAAAAAATCTCTGGAACCACCCTATTCTGGTCCACACCGAATTATCAAAAGGGTAACAGATCGCGTTTTCGAAATTGAAGTTAACGGAACTTCTCGCAATGTTTCTGTTGAAATGCTCAAGCCCGCATATTTTCTTCGAGAAGCAGATGATCCAAATGTAAAAAGAGTTCCAGCAAATAATCCTGTAAAAAAGGGCTTGACCATTCAACCCGACCTTCAACCCGACATTCAACTAGAAATTCAACCAACGATTTCATTTCCCAATGCAACGCCAAATGTGCCAGTAACCAGCGATCAGTCAAATTTTATTTTTAACAAATCTGCTGTACTTAAAACATATTCTAGGAAAAAGAAAGTCAGCTTTAATGTATGATAGAGGTATGCGTGATCGCGTTAGATATAATAGTATTATCTATCTATTTTTTTCAGTATTATATCTGCTCAAAAGTGTAGACAGCACGTAATTATTTTTTATATATTTATAATACATTTTATCAAAACAAGATTTTATATTTACATGATAAAAAAACTACGTATATAGGTAGTTTATATTTTTAACTAAATTTATATCGTCAGCCCATTTAAACTTAATTAAAAACTTGTGATTATTAGATTTTATTTTTTAACTATAATTATTATATGTAATTTTTAGTATTACTAATATCTCTACGATTTTATAATTGTTATTTTTATACAAATGTTGCAATTTTATATTTATTTATCTATTTATTTATTTTTTTTTCTCTCTCAGTTTTATATCATTATCATTCGGGGGGGAGTATGTGGGGAATGCTTTATGTTCCCCCACTATATATAGATATACGGGCTGACGCCATACTTGGCAACCGTTGCTAAGAGAACCAGATAAGTTAGTTCGATTAGAGAAGTCTTGCGAGTAACACGTGCTGTCGTATCATTACTGTAAAATGATAAATAAATTATTAATTATATAAATAATATTCGGTAACAAGTTTTATTTGTTAACCCGTGTTTATTCGTTGGAGAACAATAGTATGTTTATACATTATTGTTAATAACAATTCTCCACAAGTCCAATTGGGCTACATGAATTTTTAAATTTTGGCGGGAAATTTAAAATTTTATTTAATAATTCAAATTTGCTTGGCCGCCATTTTGTTTTACCGACCAAGTTAATTGATCGATACCTCAACAGATGGCGTTACTATTTTTATGATGAAAATTTATTATTATAAAATTTATTATCAATATCAATTATTATTTTCTTATTTTTTATTAAATTAGTTGTTTAATAAGAAGTTAAGGTAAGTTTAATTATTTATTAACTTTTATTATAACTGTTTTTATATTTAATAATGATTATTGCTTATTAATTATTTACAACTCTTTTATTTATTAAATATAAATACTTATGATTTATTTAATATGAATTATTATTAAAACTTATTATTTCTTACTGTTTCAATATATATTAAATTTATTACAATTATTAAATATTAATGTATTCTATAATATATCACTCAACTTTATATTATACAATATTTATTTCAAATTGAAATTCGCGCCAAGTAGAATTTCATTTTCGATATTCTCGAATCGATATTCTATTGTCCCTGAGAAATGGAATATTCTCATTGGTTAATTCCTTTGATAATATAATTATATATTTTATGATGAAATTTTAATTAAGAAACTATTTTATAATAAACTTTAACTGTAAATTATTTATTGCGACATCCCTGAGTCGCCATGTTTTCATACAACCTAACCTTTGATTTTAAAAAAACCGGCTTCGCACGTGCACGAGACAATTTTCATATGGTAAGTATAATAATTATTAAGTATTATAAATTATAAATAACATATACAACTTTATATTAATTTCTGACTCAATTTTCAATAATAGGTTCCAAGTCAATACAAAATTTACTGTTTTTGTAAAAACATCAATTGCAGATTTACTAAAATGCAACGAAATTCTGTAAGTATATTTTTTTTCTCTATTTCACATATCAAACAAAGCCATCATTCCAATTATTTATCTATCAATTTGATTTTCTATATATTTTTTAACCTCTCAAGTAAAACTCTCCTTTTAATTTTTTATGTTTCAATTTTCTTTTCTATTTATTGTATAACCTCACCTGTCAAGCTATTCTTCCAATTTTTTGTCAATTTTATTTTCTAT